AGGCCGAGCAGAGCCGAAGTGAGCCGAGTCCCAGCATCCTGGTAGCTATGCAACGCAAGTCAACAGCGGTGACGTCACCAAGGGATACCGCGGTTGCTAGGCAGCAGTTAACAACTCCGGACAGCGTTGCTGGCAACACGGCACCAGACGACAATGGTCCGGAACGAGGCTACATAAGGAGCAGAGAAGGCTATTCACAGTCAGTCCTCGAGCTACCTCCGAGTTAGTTCCGAGTTATCAGCGGTTAGTTCCGAGTTAGCCAGCAACCAGTCAGTTGTATTGTGGCATTTGCCGTGTAGTATTTGTGATACTGCAGATAGCAGTAATTGTCAGATTGTAATTTGCGTGATTGTAAGTGCAAACGTGAAATAAAATTCGCTATATCAAATACGGCGTGAAGTTATTTGTCACGTATACACCCCAACACGCGACAGTATGTTCATGAAGGGAGTTGACAGAGCCGATCAGTACTTGGCCTATTATTCTCTTCCTCAGAAAACGGTAAAGTGGACAAAGAAAGTTGCCTTGTGGCTTGTAAATTGTGCCATTTTCAATTCATTTTTGGTTTTCAAAAATCTAAACCCTCATTCAAAATTGAAATACAAGTCATTTCTGCTGAATGTGACAACAGCATGGGCTACAGACCAGACGGTGGCGGCAGACACAGATTTGGTGCGACTGGCTTCATCAACTCTCACCCCACGCAGGCCTCATGTGGACTCACCTGGGAGACTCTTGGGTGATATGCGGAAACATACCCTCATGAAAATTGTGAAGAGTGAACATGCCAAGGGGAAGCAGCCTTCTAGGCAATGCCATGTTTGCGCAGTACACAACAAAAGGAGTATGACTGTCTACATGTGCAAGTTCTGTGTAATGCCACTTCAAGGAGCATTGGTAAGCGTTCTCTAAAAATTTTAGTTCATAAAATTAATTAGGAGATTTTATATTAATTTTTAAAGCGAACAGTGCACAAGTTAGGGTAGTAGTTTAAAAATGATTTAAATATTTAAATCGCTGGTCCGCGAAGTGTTAAGTGAAAAATAAGTATAAACTGACATGCTTTGTTGCAGGAAAAATTCATTTGTAAAGTGGGGAATACCTGTATTATTTCATACAGTGGTATATAAGTTTTTGCATATATTGTAGCAAAGCATTTCAGAATTAGTAAATTAAATGTTTCAGCACATACCTGTAAACTTTGCACTGTAAATTTGGCTATAAGTTGAATTGATTCTGGATAGTTTTCAACCATGACTAGTTCGCCCAGCTGATAATTCGATTTCAGTCTTGCCAACAGACGACAGAATTCATGATAGTTGCTTGGATCACTCAATCCCTACAGAACACAAGTAATGACCATAAAACATGTGAACCACTATGTTCTATTTCAATAAGCTCACAGAATTTAAAGTAATTATGGTATACCTGTGGGTTTTGAAGTATATGTTTGACTCCATTGACCAGATGTGTAAGGAATTTGGCTCTTTCAGTATTGCTAAATAAGGAACGACGGACTGATGCAATCTGTACAAGACACGATAATGCCTGAATAAAAAAAGAAAAGACATACTAATAAAGGCATGACACTTAACACAATTTTACAATAATAACAGTAGCACGATATGTCCCATAGAGTTCCATGCTTCCAAAAACATAATGAAACTGTCACTGGCTGTGCACGCAGAACATTAACTGCAATGCTTTTGACTTGGGGAGAACTGGTCATATCTTGTGGCAGATTTATTTCCGACTTCAACATGTATAAACTGATAATGCTCATAAACATGGTAGCACATTTATCTTACAAATGAGCCTTAGAAAAAGAAAAGTAAATTCACTGCCAGTGTTAACTAAACTATGAAAGAATATACTATCTGGGTGATGGATCTCAGTTATTTTAACTTGCAAGGGAGAATTGACAAAAATACAACCTGTACATTATCACAAAGTTCACTACACAAATACAGTGAGTTATCTGACCAAACAAAAGCTTAAGCCTGTTCCTTCAACTACAAATTTGCCTTTATTACATTTCTTAAAATTGCCAAATATACAGAGTGAAATTAGGTTTGGATATGTGTAACTTGTGATCCAAGTTTGAATTTCAGCTAGACAACAGACTATCCTGAGGTTTTACATGGTTTTCTTCAGTACCTCTAAGCAAATGACAGGAAATTTCCTTACATCAGGCCATAACCTCTTCCTTTCGCAACCTTTCGATTTCATTATTCCTTAACATCTAATTTTTCAATACTATGAGGTGCAGTCAAATGAAAATGGGTCAGAAGCCAAAACATATTAAAGAACATTTCTTACCTCCAAAGTAATCTCCAAAACTGTTATTACATTTATCCCACTGGGAGATAAGACGGTCAATCCCATCCTTGAAAAAGCTTGTGGGCTGTCTACGGAACCACATCTTTACCCAGCCACACAGGTCTTCGTCCGATGCAAATTGATGTCCACAAATGTCTCTCTTCAGGTCTCCAAAAATGTGAAAATCACATGGGGAGAGATCTGGGCTGTAGAGGGGATGTTGAAGCACTTCCCAACCAAATATCTGTAGCTTATTCCTCACAGAGTTGGCACCGTGGGGACGCGCATTATCATGGAGAAGCATAATGCTGTTCAATAGCATTCCAGGCCGTTTTGACTTTATGGCATATCTCAATTTATACGTGTCTTCATAGCGCTGTGCACTGATTGTGGCCCCATGCTTGAGAAATTTGACAAGCAGAGGCCCCTTGCAGTCGAAGAAGAATGTCATCACTTTACCGGAACTTGTGTGTACAGCTTTGGATTTCTTCGGTGGGGGAGAATTCACATGTTTCCTCTGTTGGCTCTGCAGTTTGCTCTCGGGTTCAAAATTGTGGCACCAAGTTTCGTCCCCAGTGGCGATACAGTGATGCAGCCATTCTCTGAGTCTTCTGTTCCTCCGTAAGTCGATGGGGAACCCACTGCGCGCAGATTTTGCGGTACAGCAGGTGTTTTGTCACAATGTCATGTATGGAACCGTGACTTATTCCCATCAAAAGACTAATTTCTTCCACAGTGATCCGTCGGTTTGCCCGGATATGACCATCCAACGCAGCAATAACATCAGGAGTGATGACACGATGAGCCTGTCCTGGGCGAGCATCATCTTGCAGTGATACACGTCCATCTCGGAATCTCTTATGACACGCCAGCACACACGAACGTGACATGCTGTGTTCGCCGTAAACAACAGACATGTGACGATGAATTTCTCGTCCTCCTACTCCTTCAGCAGTCAAAAAGCGCACTACACTTCACTGTTATTCTTTACCTGCCTCCATTACTGATGTTGGACGACCACACATAGTGCTAACTTTACTTCCAGCACAATAAACAAACGACTAGTGTGCAAGGGCACGTTGTCACTGTGCTTTCCCCGAGTCCCTACCAGATGTTCATACTGTAAGCAAGTTCCAGTGTTACCAACTTGCGCGCCATGTGAGTTATGTGTGGTGACCCGTTTTCATTTGACTGCCCCTTATACATAACCTGAGTTTCTTAATGCACCATTAATTAAGTAATAATAATAAAAAAATACACTGTAAGTCAAACATGTAAGTTTTTATCTGATCTGTTTTCTGAGAAAACTGATGATCTCCATTAAGGAAATGGATTATATATGATTGACATGAAACAAGAACTTTACAGTATGCTTGCTACCTGCATGTGTGCACATGCCTGCGCATGCATGCACGCACACATCCATATTTATGCTGGGAATGAAGTGTGTGGCCTGAAATACGCAAACTCTCCCCCTTGCATATATTCATTACTCATGCTATGTATAAACTGCTACAAAACATAACATTGTGTTAACTTTTAAGAAGTTCAAAGTTCCTTGCTTTCTACAAGGTGGAACTGATTTTTTTTTTTTTGCCATAATTGCCAAACACTTACTTGCATATGTCAGTCTTCAACATACTCCCCTCTGGAGTCAACACATTTTTTCCAACGTTCTGGAAGCAACCTGATGCCCTTTTCAAAAAAGGCTTGTGGTTGGCGGCGTATCCACTCCCGAACAGTCTGGACGATGATGATGTCCACAAACCGCATGCCTTACAAGTCTGATTTGAGCCTTCCAAACAGGTAGAAATCACTTGGGGCCAAATCGGGACCATACGGCAGATGTGTCAGAAGGTTCCATTTCAATTTCTGGAGGGCTTCCATTGTTGTTTTGGCCATATGGGGGCATACATTGTCTTGAAGGAAGGCTACCCGCTTTCCAGCTGTTTTCCGCTTGAATCGAACTTTTCCTTCACGTCTGTTGCCAGGAGGTCTGAGTAAGCTGCAGTGACTGTTCTGGTATCTGTCAGAGAGTCTACATGGATAACCCCCCACAAGTCCCAAAAGAACGTTGCAATCACTTTTCCTGCCGAACGGATCCTCCGCGCTCTCTTGGGTTTGGGAGAACTGGTATGCCGCCACTCGCGTGATGACTGCTGGGACTCGGGAATGAAGTAGTGCACCCACGTTTCATCGGTGGTCACTATAGACTTCAAGAATGCATCACCTTCATCTTCAAACTGCTGTAGGAGACGACTGACAGCTTGCATATGCACCATTTTGTTCACGTCCGTCGAAGTGTGTGGTACCCACTGTGCATTCACATTGTGATAGTACTGCTCCAAGTACCTTAATAGTGATGCGCCTGTTCTCATGAATAAGCACGTCTGCACGATCAATGTTCGGCTCAGTGACGGATGTTCGCTGCCGACGATCATGCGGTTCATTCTTCATGCGCTCTCTGCCCTCTCTGAAGCACTTACACCACTCAAACACATACGTCCATGAGAGACACTCTTCCCTATACTACTGTTGGAATCTGTGGTGAATTTCAGCAGATGGGACATTTTCTCCAATGAGGAATTTGTTTACAATGCGTTGTTCCACGCTCCACGGTACCTTCTGTTCGCTCATCACTCTAGCAACTCCCAGACAGGACTGAACAGGTTCTAACCCGAACACGAGGGAGGGTGGATGTTGTGGCTCCACTCTCTCAAGGTCGCAGAGCTGCTGTGCAGTGCGGCTTGTTTACGCACAAATCAGTCCCGGTCATATTTGAACCACCTTGAATTTAGGAAGTTAGCAAATGGAATTATGAAATCCATTTCAAATGCTGCTTCCTCGTTTTGCTTCACATAAACATATCTGATTCTGTACAATGGAAACTGTTTTTTAACTAATCAAATCTAATCTAATTTAATTTAACTCTTTAATATGACAAATTGAGAAATATACTGCAGGCTAAACTGACTTACCAATGGAGATAGTGTATTTGGTAAGGAATGATAGAGATCAAAGAACAGCTTCAATGTTGAAAAGTCAAGGAATGCAGGTCTCCAGCTGGTGGGAATCTGAACTGTGCACAAGTCATCAGATGATTCATCTGTTGACGTGCCAATGAAATCGAACGTGAGACAGTTGTGTGCCAATCGAAGCAACTGGGTCATCAATCCGTGCTGAAATATAAGGTACAAACTTTAAACATTAAACAAAAAAAAAAGAAAAAAGAAAAAAAAAAGTACATTCACTCCATTTATTATGGAAACAAACACATGTAATGATGTGAACCATTATGCTGTCATCAGAAAGCTACTAGAGTATATTTACAACATCCATCCCCAGCAGGAAAAATACAAGATGTTTCTTCCACAAGGCTACCTACACAACACAGCACACACCCTGGATCACAAAATTCACTTTAATACATATTACTGAAAACGAGACAGTGGGAAAGAACTACAGAATTTGCCAGACACATACAAAATTGCAACCAAATACACACAGCAGACCAATCTTTCACCCGCCTTTCTAGTGAACAAAATACAGGCCTAGGCACAAAGAGTCTTGCAAAGAAAAATGTAATATATCACCGAGTCAACAGTAAAGACCAATCTGTCAATGCTTACCATTTGTCATCAAAGTATGTGGATTACTTCTACAAATTTTATGCTTCAAGATTTCCAACATATTCAAATCTGAGAAGCATGAACAATTTCTGTGTTACATTAAGTGTTCTGCAGTGTGTACTGGTGCATTACTCTGTTGATAATATGGTTAACTCTTTTCAACTTCAGTTAATTGATGAAAGAGAGCTTCAAAATATGTACTGCTTTCATATTCTCCAGATATGAAACTTGAAGGAGAATGTTTGTAGAAATAATTCATTTGCTTTGGAGACAATATAGATTGAATTGAAACATCATTATGGAAACAACAAAAGGTAAACAAGTGCCTCAGTTCTTCTAAATGATAAGCTACAACTACAGATAAGGAGGGAATGACAGTTTCTTGGTGTTAAGAGTTTAACACTTGGAAGGAACATGTTTCTGAAATTTGTTGAAGTTCATATTCAGGTTATACTACTCAAGTTCTTAAGTACTACACAATCCAATATCCTGAAGGTGCACGCATGGCCACAAAAAGGTTCTAAGAGCAAGAATTTATAACTTATTTATTTTCTTAGCTGCCAGGCAGTAGTACACTCTTTAGTAGCACCATACTGAAATACATGTAAAGCTATACCTGTCCTTCATCATTGAAGTTGAGACTCTTGCAATTTTCTCGAGCTGTACCAAGCAGTGAACAAGAGAGGCGGAATATCTCAAACAGCTGAGTGTCCCGGAATGATGATGCAATTTTACGATGTTTTGTCAGCGAACGATTTGCATCTGCCTCCGAGATCTGATTCATCTCACAGGTCAGCTGTGACAAAAGCTGCACGCCGATCATGCAATGCTCCACAGAGCCCTTCAAGTACATAAACAAAACAATCATCACTTGTTTAAAACTTAAGCAGTCTCCAAAAGTTGGAACTATTGCTGTGATTAAATGTTTAATCACAGCCCTCCAGCTTCCTTGCATGTTAACAAGGGCTTCACCCCTCTACAGCAACACTGTTTAAAACAAATTACAAACTTGAAACTTCATTCTTCATACACAAACATAAATTCGTATGATGAAAATACTAAAGGTTCAAAGATATTAATATTTAAAAAAACACACACAAAGCTTTTTTTATAAATGTATTTAAAATAATTTCTAGTTCTTGACAGTATTAAAAATATCATTCATACACTTTATATTTTAGTGAAGACAGCCAATTAAGATGATTCTCATGTAACATAAGATGAAGATATTTTGAAATATAAGACACAACTTGAATTGGCCGTGATTAAAATTCATTTACACTCCAGTACTGCAATTATAGCTTTCCTGAAGTTGTGTTTATGGTACGTAAACACAAACTGCAATCTGTCACCATACATTCAGCCATTATGAATATGAATTACTAATACAGTAACACAGTTTCATTCGAGTAGTACAGGACACAAATGCCTCTATTTCTTTACATTTTATAATGCTTTAAACATTGTAAACATGAAAAACTTACCTAGCCCAATATAGTAACATTCATGAAATACAACCAATAAACCTGTTCATTTTAAAAAAATGACAGGAAGATTACTCTGAATGCAATGGATATAGCATCACACTGAACATTTATGCCAATCAATACTGTCTCTTTTATGCAGCACTATAAAACAGACAATTAACGGGATGACAATAGAACTGCCTGTAAATCATGCACACAAGATGCCTCAAAACAAAGACGTGTGTTTTAGATACATGGAATTGCCTACATCACACCCTATTTGCCATGGAACCAAGGGTGGATGAACATAAAACATTCCTGGGCAATATTCTTCTACAAATGATGTACTCTAAATGAATAAAATGTCACGTATATAGAGACATAACTTGTGAACACTATAGTACAATCCCATATTATTTTCTTATGAGATTTATGTAGAACACTATAAACAATACAAAATATGAATAATCTTGTATAATTTAAGTTCAAATATGGACAGGACATTAATTCATGGATTAATCCTTTAAGAATTTATATATGCTTACAATTAGGTAAAATTAACTGTAACTCTTTCACTGTACAGAGCTTGTGAGATTACTTGCTGCTTCAATTATTTCATGTTCTTATAGTACTTGTCCCATCATTCAGAGCTGAAAAGAACTCAGATTAACACCAGGCAAAACACTGGATATGTTGTAAGGAATGACTGGGGAAACAATTTAAGGACTATAACCCTTAGCACTCTTCGTCATTCATTCATACATACATCTTTGTATACCTACCTATATTTTCTCCAGAGTTAGTGAGCACGTGAACCAAACACACAGGACACACACACATATATATATATATATGTACATATGTTCAGCACTACTGAACATGATATTCAAATTAATATACATACTTCTTCATGAAGAGATTTAGACTGAATATTTATTATCCACTGTTTATTCTAGCTGAGTACTCTACTCCTGGCACTTTTCTGAACTCCAGAGAAGCTTCTCTTGAATTTAAAATTAACAGTGAATCACCATATGCCATGAGGATACAGAGAGACAAATATGAACTCGTGGTGAACACCGTAAATGGAGAAACGCCTATCACTACACATAAACGTAATTTCACAAATTTTCTGGGGGTACAGCACTGAGAAAACAAATCTTGTACCAGTATTTGCAACCATTCCTGGTATGGAAAACTGTGTAGTCATTCTGAAGGATTCACCCTTTGTCACTCGTGTTTGCAGCTTTGGGACGGCATCCTATGACACTTCGAGAAATATGTAATTTCTAATTTCTATCTTCTTCAGCCATTTACAATATCACTTCGATGTTTTGTGTAGAGATTTGTACAAGTGCAGGTGATATAAAGCAACAAATACAATAAGGAAAAGGTCAAGGGTTTGAGAACCAGTATTCAATGGACAGAAGTTTCTAAATGCTGTCACTGACACAGAGATAAAGCCACCCATCACATGAAGGTAAACAAATACACATCTCAGTAAGTTTTAAAGGATGAATATACTGGATATTGTGAGAAAGAGAGGAACACTTACCAAATCAAAGCTTTAGAGAAGAACTAAAAGAAAGAGAATGTAAAATTCTTCCTTCATCCAATTCTTATTGTGCCCCTAGGCTCTTCCCTTTCTCATTTAACATACTTTTACTTTATTAGGTAATTTCTGTTGAATATAAGGATGAATAACAAGGTAGACAGGTCATATTCAATAGTGTGTCAAAATTTATTGAAACTAAAAAATGATTACATGTCATATCAAACTTAGACTTTGTTCACCACCTTTAAATTGTTCATGTTCAATATCTCCAATTACGCTATAAGCACAGTCATGTCATCATGTTAACATTTTTAACAAATTTAAAAATATACTGTATGATAACTACAAAAAGTAATAAAGTATGAAAATACTTTACAATTGGTAGCACCATGCAATCAATTGGTTCTAAGTTTTAAAAGCCATATTAAAAAACACAGAACCTTATAACACAAAACAAAGATTTCTGATGATAGGAAAGTCACGACACAATTGCACTACAATATCTGAACAGAAGACAACAGGCCTTTTTTTTTATCAATGAACACAATTAGTTGTTTGTCAAACATCATGAGAGTGGGTTTAGCATACAAGCTTCTTTCTCCTTAGAAACTTAAGGATAATAACCAACAATCTGAAAATTTACCTTAGTAAACATAACAGTAGGGCACATACAAGGTTTGAAGTTTTCAGTGCAAACTCATAATGTGGTCTTCTGAGTTATGACACCACATCATCTGGCAAGCAAGTGCCAGTATGTTGAAGGGAGAACAACTGCCTCCATCCTTGGGCAGCACACTCTTCCAAAACATTGTTACTCACCTATCAAGGGACATGTCATAATCCAAAAGACTACAATATGGAAACTTCACAGTTCACCTACTGAAGAAAAAACTTTCTTGTAAATCATCAAGAAAATTATATTTTAATCAAGGAAGTATAGGTACTTGGAACATAGTGAGAAACAAAATATCAAACTACTCAAAGGAATCACTATTTGAACCATTTCTGTACAGGCATTTGCTTTATATCAAGAAAGAAAGTATCAAGTAACTAAAAGAAATATGCAATACTACAAAAAATGTACCTCCAGTAAGAAATAAATGCAAGTTACCATAACATTATATACTCTATTATGAACAGACCACAAGAACTCTCAAGTAGGGCACTGTCAAATCAGTACAGAAAGGTCACAATTCCATGGAAACAGAAAATGTTTCACATATAACGATTTTGTAAAACGCAATTTTAAAATCTTCACTGTATGAAGAATAACACAGAGTTAAATGGTTAGTTTATGAATTATTTTGTGCTATTCAATATTTCATACAAGAAAACTTCATAAAGCCTATAAATATTTTCTTGCATTATTTGCATGAGGTGCACAAAATGAATGCATAATAGTGAGGCAGTATTGTGCTGTGAATTTAACCTTTATATTCATACAGGACATCTTTATGTCCAGCTGTGCATGTCAGTCAAGACTGTTTATGGCAGAAAACAAACAGTGCTTTTGTGAAGGGACAAGCCTGAACACAATAAAAAACTGCATTCACTGCATGGCCATCATATGCATATAATCTAGCAATACTGTAAAAGGTTTTCTGCATGCAAAATGGATATAAAAGTTTTATATTACAGAAGTTAATCTGAAAATTCACACAACACATTTTGGTGCTACCTGGAACTGATTATCTATACTAAAGTTGTCAGGCAAACTTTTTTTGTACAAATCTAACCCAATATATAATTTCTTGAAAGTGGGACATCAAATAAGAAACTAGCAAATAGCAAAATACAGACCTCATCAAGCTCTACAACATTTATATGAAATGTTGGCAATAAGGTTCATAGCTTTATATATATAAAGATGAAAAGATTTTATAATTCTATGTTGTGTAACATCAGTACACTGATTAGCTTTGTCAACAGCAGAATTTATGTCTCTAATCAATGTCATACCTGTACTGTTAATAACTTGCCAACAGACATGACAGATCTGTAGCTGCAAACAGAGATGCAAAACTGCAAAGAGTGCACTTTCATACACTCAAGTGGAGCACATATTTCCACCGTCTTTCTTTGGAACTTTAAAATTATATGGACTAACACCACAATCACACATTCATGTTCTGTACCATATGACACGTTATATCATGAGTTAATTCTTATCATGTTCTGAGCAGTAAAATGTTTATTTACCATACACTGAACCAAGTGTCACCACACAACACACTTTTCTGACTGCAGACTTCTTGTGTTCTGTAAAGTATGTGAAGTATTCTAATAACCCCAAAATTTTGCTCCACAACTAAATTTGCTGGCCTAAATTATAACTTACAGAGCAATAAAGTGAAATACAACAGAATCCTCTGAGAAAAGTTCCAAGGGACCAGTTTCAAAACCATCTGAAGAAAACTTAACAGTTACTGGACATATGAATAGATTATGGAAACACATCTAATTATTACATAAGAACTCTTTGATACTGAATGTAACGCAATGACATTCTGTTACTTTGCTACATTATTAACCTACACTAGTTTAAGCATAAAACACCCAGTCTTGGGAGTGTGATAAGGAACTATATAAAAACTACAACTTCATACAGTTAATATTTTAGTACGAGATTTCATTCCACACTCTCTAAAGTTCTATAACTGTCAACCTTGATGTAGATGGAAGGAAAAATATTAAAATGGATTTTAGGTACAGACGATTTCTTAATATATGAGACAGTCTGGATCTGTAAGAGCACGAAATATCTTGGCCAATTAAAAAACTATGAACTACAGAGGGCCCTGTACTCTTTCCCATACCGTA